TAAACTTTCGCATTTATAATATTAGTAAGATTAGCAATATATAGGGGAAAGATTTGTATTTTTGTATGTATTGAAATAACTTAAAAACTACTGGCAGATTTAAATTCTTTCATTGTTAAAAAACTACGTTATTAGTGAATAACACATTTTTTTTAATCTCAACTTGACGAAGTTGCGAGCAATATCTAGAGAAAAAATTAAATCAAATATTTCTTGTTTAACTAGTTGTCGCCCATGACTCCGTCTTTGCAAAATTAAAAAAAAATATCCTACAACAATGTTCTAATATACCAAGTTTCATCTTTCATCATTCATATCATCCAAAATACATCTATTCATACATCCATCCATAATAGTAAGAAGTGGAACCCTGATCTAAATCCTATGTCCTAATTGATAAGCAATTGTAATCCATGTAGTTTTAAGCGTTCTTTATAAATGTAATTAAAAAAAAGGTTCGCAAAAAGAAGAAACTATCAAATGAGTCAGGGGCGGGGCCTTCTGGGGCGGAGTCTCCGCGCACCCCGCCCCCGCAGCGCTACACCTGCCCCGTCTGCGACAACACATTCAAGACTCTGATATTCCTGCAGCAACATGTCGACTCTTGTTTGTTGTGAATTAACACAATCATCTGCCACTAAGGGCTTCACTTAGTGTATTAATAATGCTACAGTATAGCTGACAATCGAAAATAATTCGCAATCCCTTTTGAATAATACAGCAGAATACTGAAACGACATTTAAATTTATAACACCGCCTACTAATATTTACAAAGAGAAAAGTTTTGTATTTTTATATGTACTGAAATAACTCAAAAACTACTGGGCCGATTTCAAAAATTCTTTTACTATTAAAAAGTTACGTAATCAGTTAATAACATAGGCTATGTTTTTTTTTATTTTTTAATTTCAGGCTGACGAATGAAATATAAAATCTTCGTTTAAACTCAAATTCCATTATTATTTTTAAATGTGTTAAAATACGTTTCTTATTTCAACTCTTATTGAACATTAAGTTATTGTACCTTTAATGATCTACACTAAAGGAAGTCCTTAGTAATCAATTAACGACTCGATGTGGCAGTAAAATTCGTTTTCCGTACTAATTGCAATATGCTGAGATTCTTTTTTAGTATTTTGTACTGAAATATTTTGCATTTCTTTTTACAGTTTTTTTATTTATTGAATCAAGTATTTGTAAACAGCTTTAGTTAAGTAAACTAAGTTTTATTTAACGTAATAAATTGTGCATAACTACCTCTGAACACTAAATGTTTTTGTATTGTAAAATTGTTTAACTATTTTTTTTTATAACATAAGGTGGCAAACGAGCAAGCGGCCACCTGAATCCGCCAAAATGGCGAAGCGACTGCCCATAGACATCCGCAATTGCAGATGCGTTGCCTACCCTTATCCGACGGAGGAGATGCACATAAAGAGGATATTTCCCCTTCCTATGCATCTCCTCAACCGTCAAATCCACTTCCTCTTCCCATCATCTTGTGAGAAAAGGGTGGTAAAGAGAAAGGGACTAAAATTAGGCCTCAACTAACTTAAAAGATGTTATACTATTAATAGCAATAATGGTTTAAATTTGTGAATTATTTATTTCTCGTTTTTTAACGTTAAATACAAATTTAACGAATGTACAAAACAGTTTGTTTTTAATATAATTTTGTTAAAGGAATCTCATTATTTTAATAAGAAACCTTCGAAACAAAATATTAGGTGAGGTGATATTTGTATGTTTTTGTTGTCAATTCAATGTGTTAATACTAATAAATAGATTTCTAGCTAAAAATAAATTAAACAAGTGTTGCCATCTTTCGAAATAATGCCGATTTTCGCGAAAAAGTAAGGTCTGATCAGAAAAATAGAAAACCTTGTAATGTGAACTTGTAAACCTCATTACGTCATATGCAAAGATCAGAAGAAATTAATTATTTTTACATAGTAAAGTATTTTATATTTCTGGTCAACTTTGCTTTAAATTGAAATGCGTATAAGTATGGAATGTAATTCTGCATTTTTTTTTCAGTTTGTACTTTTGCATGTCGATTTTTATTGTATTTTTAATATTAAGGTAATGCCTTTGTTGAATGCTTGTATGTTAAATGTAACCAATAATTGAGTTATTTAAAATAACATGTATAAAACCGTTAAGTTACTAGTTTTTACCCTAACAGTGTATACTGCCGAAACACTTACCAAATAACATTGTCTCTTTCGATCTCGTAGAAAAGATAGAGATGAAAATTATTTGGTACTATTTCGACAGTAAAACCCACGTTTGCAGTGTAACTATTTTTTTAATATTGTGTTATACGTTTTCTAATATTTCTTGTTATTTTCCAGGTGTACAAGTGCCCCAAATGCATGAAATTCTCCAGCGATCAGTACAAAGTTATGGAGGATCATTTCGACTTCTGTTTAGATGATTTTTAACAAGTAAGTGATATCAAATTAGCTGATCATAGCCGATTATTAAAACGACATTTACAGCTACGCTTAGGGCCTGTCCCACGACTGGCTGATAGAGGCTCAGATAGCTTAAAAATGACGTCACTGTCAGATAAGGGTACAAAATCAGATATTTCCGTCACATATTTTACACGTTGGATTGTTATCAGACAGTTTAGAATTTGGTGGGACAGGCCCTCTCCAAATTTAATTATTTATTGTATTTAAGAATAGTTTCAACATTTGGCCGTACTACTATTAGGATACCTAAGATGTCCCTCAGTGAACTAAATGACCCTTAGTGACCATAAAATGACCTTTGAATAAGTTTTATAAATTGACTTTTTCCATTACACTTTTAAAATGTGTCTTCAGAGGTTTTAAATGGATTTTTATTGCCTCCTAGTTATATGTCCAATAGTGGAAATATTATATATATTTTTATTAAACTAAATGTGAATTGTACACTGTATAAAATGTGATATATTTTAAAAACTACCCTTCATGTAACTCTAAACCATTATTAAATTAAAAACATTAATTTTATATCAAATTTACAGATAACCGTTGGTGCCATCACTACGACGTTTGATTGACTTAAAACCGCAGTTTTGTAAGCAATTGTCTCCTTTTTTCGGATTATTCCCAACCGTCACCTAGCTCTGTCCCCACGTGAGAATACAAAGTTTCATCCTTCCCACTATCACCAATAAGGTGACAGATGAAACCGTTATGGAATAAAATGTGCTCCAACCGGCCCTCATCGCAAAAGTTGGGACGGATGGAACTTTTTACTCTCATTGTTCCCACGTGGGGACAGAGCGGGGTGACGGTTGGGAATAATCCTTTTAGTCAACTATAGTTACCTATTTCATACTTCCCTAAAAAATTGTATGTAGAAATATTTTTCTATGTAGAAACGATAGAAACATATGAGATTCATATATGTACAGTACTAGATAATAAATGAAATTAATACAGGTAAAACCCAAATATATTAATACAAAATTTATTTAAAATTGGTTGCAGTTAACTATTTATATTAGAACATATTTTAACTTGCTAATAAACAAACCCATAGATTAGTCATTTCCGTCCGCTCTGCAACAAATAGTCTTTGATATTTATTATCTTTGCTCTATGATTTTCCCGCGCAAAATACAAATTGCAATCCTTATTATCCAAAACTGTCACACAAAATTGGCTTTTATTAATTAATTTTTATGGTATATTTTGTTTTTATTTTAACAATGACGGTTTTTCGCTATATTTAAAGCATGTATATTTGTTAAATTAGATATATTTTGGTAAAAAATTCTCGTGCCATGTGATATCTTATAGTTTTTATGTATAAAACATTTCATTAAAAGTTTAAAATAAAATAATATGTTCCATGAAATAAAAAATGTGGTTTTTAGCTTTGGCTATAGATACGGTGAAGTTGAAAATAGACGTGCTGTCTACTCTAGTTAGATTGAAGTCGTGATAGATTTTCATATCAGATTGAAAGTATACGATTATCGAGTGATTGAAAAAGACTGGTTTGGTTATGTTTTTATTATTAGTTTGACTATTTCACATGTGAAATTAAACATAGATATTTTGACTGTGCATATTAAATGTACTATTAATTTTTATAATCTGTTAATTTGTCAATTGAAATATACGTTATTTGCTAGTTTAAAGGAAAATAAACCTTAAGCCTAATATCTTTTGAATGCGTTTCTGTTACCACGCACATCAATAAAATGTTTCTCCATTTTGTATTAGAAATTAATGAATAAAAGCATGTTTTATTAATCCTGTGTTTTTTTTTTCAACTTGGATCAATTAAACCAGAATAAAAAAACTGATTTTTGACAGCTGTCAAAATAGACATAGATTATAGTTCTGGAGATAAGATTTTTGAGGTTATTTAATATGAGACGTTATGTAAGTCTTCTACAACTTTACACACGTCACTACTGTTTATTAATATGTAAACATAGACACGTATTCAAATACACGTAACATGTACGTGGTACATTAATTATTCGATACATCATATACTTCGCGTCTGTTTGTGTATCTTATTTAAAAGTAATTGAATTCAATCATATATAAATAGAGCACGTAACAGCCGTAATATGTTGTATGTCGGTAGCTAGAATGTCATACCCACTGTAGTGCATACATTTTATAAGGTGACATTATTATTGCTTGAGGTAGACCTAGAAAGTGATGGATGGATTGCGTGAAAGGTGATCAAGGGAGTGATGACTGAGATGACGGATGGTAGTTATTTGGAGGACGAAAACCCGGTGCGCCATACGGCAGTAAGATAAGGTAGGGGAGATGATGATTTTTATGTCGCTAAACCAAGTTACCATATAGTCTACATTAGTCTCCGTTATACTTGCATGTCTGTGTATACTTTAACTATGATTTTTTTTTATTTTAAATCTGGCAACCCAACAATGATGACTTAAAATTAAGCTACAAAGGTTATTGAAGATGTGCGCAACCGTAGATACTAGATTGGTAGGACAGGTAATTAGTAATAGACAGTAATCGTTTTCAAAATGTAATATATTTCGTGGAACCCGTAGCGTTTCTTAGCTGTTTTATATAAAATTTATACAAATAGAATAATATTTCACTAATTCAATATTTTTTTTTATAATTTTTTTTATAAAATATCTTCACAGGTCCTATAAATTGTTATAACAAGTCTAAATATTAGTTAAATTCGTTAAAACTAGTTTCTTGGGTCAACTATTGGCACCATTTTTAACACATGGCAGATGTGGTTCATTACAATTTGTCATAAAATCGAGTTTTAAATTTTATAATCTGTAATACAACAGGTAAAGGTTAAGAAACGCTAAAAGAAATCTATAAATAGCTGAGATTCGAACACAGAGAAGAGTTTTGGCGAAACTAATATATAGAAAAGTAAGTATAAACCGCAACTTACAGAATATATCAGAAATACACGAACGAGGAAAGATAATTTTTACGTAATCACTGGTACGGTCGCATGCAATACCGGTTTATTTCTTTCATAATAAATAAACCGTTAAAAGTAACAAAATAATAAATAGTTCGAAAGTATACAAAAAAATAAATCTTTATAAATACTTAAAAACTAATTAAATTGTATAATATATCGCTTAAAACTGAACTTCGCAGATACAACCAAAACTGATCGAAGCAAAGAAGATACCACAGACTAAATTGTTCTATAGTGTTGCCAGTCACTGTCAACACTTACCAAAAAGGTTGTTAACATTTCGTAATTAGTAAAGCATAATCTTTGCTTCGTTGATGCGATAGTTACCAATATGGCTCAGATAATATAAGCATATGTGATGCATTAAATACAAAATGTGCAATTAAAACTAAATATTAAAAAAAAAATTCTATTACAACATGTTGTACATTAAATTCAATAAGTTGTCTTTTAAATTTCGAATTAATTGTTCCTCTTAAGTTTTTTGTCAAAGATTATAAATGCGTCCAATGCAATAGGAAAAAAACAATTTTATACAAACAAGCTTAGACGACATCGTTGAATTTAATGTAAACCGTTTATTTTGTTCGTTCGATTAATATATTTACAAGCCTATTAACACTAAATCATAATATAATACATAATTTAATACCGTCAGTTATAAAAGGCGATGTTAGTAAGAAATCAAAATCTAAAAGTAAAAAGCGTTTTTAAATACTGTGCTTGGAATGCGCAATGTAATTAAAATGACTTCAGTCGGATAATATTGTTCTTTTTTAGTTTTTTTTTCCAAAAACAGATCGGATGAGATGGCCAGCATCGAACCGGAATATAGTCTGTCTACATTTATGTGAAAAATTTAAAAAGTCTATTAGTATAAAATAAAAAAGAAATGTTTAATGTACTTTACACATCTGTAGCTAGTTAGAAGCCAACAACTAATACAAAAATTTGCATATATCCATCTAAACTATTAAATACACAAATATCCCTAACATTGTATACAAATTATCTAACACAAATTACGATAATATTACAATTAGTTGCAAACATAAATAATTTTTATGTCGCGGTAAAGACTAGAATACGTTGAGGATAGAAAGCAGATGTCGGTGGCGGAGGAAGTCGACAGTCGTTTCTGCTTTTTGTTGGCGAAGCGGTGGAGTCACGGTGACTGATGCGATGGTCGTTGTCCACTCTGCGACGGTCGTTGCTACTCGGTCTATATGTTCGCGAGGTGTCCGGCGAGCTGGCAGCTTAGCGTTTGCCGAGGTAGTCGACAAGTTGTTCAATTTCCTCCTTTTCGTCAGTGAGTAGCAGAGTCTCCACACAACCATCGAAGTATTTTGACTGAAAACATTCCTGCCTGGAAACGTAAAACTTGTATTAGTACGATATATTTAACTCCTTATATGCAATAGTACAGATTAAAAAAAAGAAAGAAGCTTGTTAAGTTTTTGGAAGATTCGTGTTATTTACAATAGTAAGCTGTCGTTTCAATGCGATAAAGTGATACAAGTAAAGGTCGACAAGTCCGAGTGCATCGTTAAATAATCATTTTCCAGACAAAAGAACAGGAAATTCCTAAATATAAATGATAACATTATCGTAAGCGATGGCAAACGAATTGTTCGTCTTGAGAAAAAAATGGTAAAGAACGGTCTGTGATGTTTACTCTTTGTTGTTTATTGTCTTTAAAAATTCTCATTAAAATGTTCATGTGAGAAATGACGAAACCATCTTCAAGAAGATAATGAAAAAACTAATTAGTCCATATCCTATTTCAACTTGTTCGTGCCAATTGTAACTAAATTGTGTACATTGTTGTTTGCTGTTTGCAAATCTTCACAAGATTAAAAGAAAAACTTCGTCCGCACAGAATTAAGAATGCAAACTAGTCAGTAGTTCTTTCAGACTATATCCTACATCTGTGCCATATTTCATTGATGCGTTAAGCATTCAGTCGCAAAAAACGTCCAGATATCCATTCAAACTTTAGAATTATTGGTATGTTTATATACTTAATTATTATGCATTCAATTTATTTTAAAAAAGGCCATATACAAAATTTCTACATAATTGTTCTCTGGTTCATTAGATGTCGTAAATGCCGTGTACCCTTTTATAAACTTACCGCATGTGGTATGCATGACTTCGCATCTGAAGAATCTTACAAGCCTATTTGCGTCAGCGATTAAACAAATTAAATACTTGCAATAACTTTAACTAAAGTTTTCTAACTCTGCTCTCTCTTTTAGCCAACTTACCTGACCCTCTACTTAAATGTATGCCGAATACCTTTGCAAGAATTTATAGCGTTTAAACATGCAATTTATCGTTATTAACAATTTTGCGTGTAGTGCAATTAGTAAAGAAAGGCTCGTGCTAAGATTTGATGTTACAAGCACCCAAAAGCTTTGTTCCCCAAAGAACTAAGGTTCAGTTACTTTAAAAAAAGGCGATTGGAAAGGCGTCGAATGCAATAGTAATTATCTGTCACCTACAAGTTCCCATATGCGTATCATTACAAGTTTTCACGTACAAACCAGATTCTATAATACGGAACTAGAATACACCGAGATTGTAATCTATTTATTTTTACTTTTTGCACTATTAACATGCGTTATTCTAAGAAGTAATGTCCACATGGAAAACAGAGGGCTTATCAGGAATATGCGTGAATAATCGTAACGTCATCGCCTGATTTTGTATTAAAGTGCATAAACAAATTTCATACAAATTTTATCGTTACGGTATGAATACATTTCTGCAACTGTCACGCAAATATCATAGTAGACCCTCAGACCAATGACGAAGAGTTTTGTTCCCTTAATGTGTTTTATTAAGTATGAAAAATATTGCGTACATGAAACAGTTTAACAAATACAAACATATTTGTGACCGGATAAAGTAGCCCATTTGAAGAAAGAAAGAAATTTAGTATATTTTTTTACAAATTATGTCATGTTTAATGCATAGGGAACTTTAGAAAATTATTATTGCGCCATAACCGAAAAAGGATAGAGAGGTAAGGAAGGTCAAAAAAACACTATGGTACCTAAATCTTTGGATCGGCCCCGTGTAACTTTTTAATGTACTCCTTGAAGAGTTCGAGCTGGTCAGTTTCTTGCAGCACTTCAACGCAGCCCTTGAAGTAATCTGTCGTGAAACAGTCTTTCCTGTGCCCCAACGAAACATACACAACTTTAACAAAATTCACATCAAAACATCGCAATTTTCTACTAGATCGTCTCATCTGTAATATGCTGGCAACTTTAAATACACCAACAGTAAAAAATCATATGTTGTACATGGCAACATTGACGATGTCATCTGTCAGAAATAATGACATTTATAACTTCACATAAAATGTTGCCAGCATTGAAAATTTGCGATTAAAAATAAAATAAAAACCAAAATTGACAACACAATATCTAATCAAATTAACATAGTATATACCTGCAGAGGTTGTATAGAGAGGGCTCCCGGAAGAGATTGTAACAGTCGTCGCAGATGCGGTCGAGGCGGGCGAAGATGGAGGCGTCGTAGATGCCCTTGCATTGCAGCTTGAAGAAGGAGCGGCGCGCCACGTGGTGCGCGGGGGCCGGCGACGCGGCCGCGCCCGGCGCCAGCGCGCACACTGCTGCCAACGCCACTACCACTGAGCTCAGATGCATCTGCAGCAACAGCATTCATACAATTACTTTCCTACATTTTTTATTAGAATACCATGTAGTAATGAACAGGCCATCTACAATTCTGTTCATGTTCTTTTGAATTATCTTTTAAACTATTTAATGTAAAAAAAACATAATATAAACAAAATATTTAAAAATATAGGTGCATTACATAAAATAGACAACAAAAACAAATACAGAAGAAACCGAAATTAACAAGAAAAATAATATAAAATACGCTAGTGTAATGAATATGTAGGAGGCCTTTGCCGACTGGCAAATAGACAGCTGTAATGAAAAAAATCTGTAACTCTGTATATCTAGTTCATATTCTTTGCAAGCTATTCTGAATAAACGGCGATTTCATTTCTTTTATTTTAAGGTAAAAAGGTTAAGCTTGTCTCTAAGATTACGACTACCAAGTGCACTTCATGTTTCGTAAGCCCAGTAAACTCGCTGTAACCTTTAAGATGGAACAAAGTGTTTGCTAATTGCAGCCAGAAATAGACGGCTTGTTTGATCACACACGGCATACGCATTGCTTACTAACCACACTGTTATAACTATACTAAACCGTCACAAAATATAACCTCTGGTTTAAATTCTTTTGTGATAAATTACATGAAGAGCTACCTCATTATTTCAGATGAAGATAAATTCACTCGTCGCAGTGAAAGTTTGGAAGAAAACTCTTTGTTCCGCCGATAAACGACGATTCGTAAACGACTTCAGAGAAAAAGCGCTTGTTTATAGCGTTTTGATTTTAGATTTATCAGATAACCATTATTGAATTCGTTTTAAATCGGGGAATTTTAAAAAATCGTTTTCAAAAGATTACAATCCGTGAGTGGACTGAGAATCGATGTGAGCGGGAGTGTCGTAAGCGATGCGTCGACGGTCAGCCGGCGCGGCGGCGGCGCGGGAAAACAGCGTAATTATTGGCCTACGCTTATAAATCATCCGTGTGGCATTACCTAGCGCAGACCACACGCCGTCTGCCACTTAGCGGTGTCTACCCTCTTTAACAAGAAGCTTTTGACAACCGGCCCCGGCTACAGGCTAAATAATTATAGATTTAATTCATCACGACGTTGCTGTATGCTTACTGATACGAAAACTTATAAGGATCGCGGACAGAAAGCGTCATTTGTGATGGAAAATAAATTGAATAATTCATATTAACTTTTGCAGTAATTTTTTTATTATCAAACTTTATTTCCTAACCTGTAGAGAGTCATCGTAGCAATTTGCTTACAAGTTATTTCTTAATCGCACACTAATAACTGAGTATGGCAAGGTAAATGGTAATATGGGTGAATTTACATATTTCACGTGTTTTTTAACTAAGGGGCGGGGTTGCCGGGCGAGATTGACTGACTCGGTGTGGCCGAGCAGGTGGTCGAGCAGGCCACTTAAGTAATACGTCGATTCTAAGAAAATGTCTTACTTAGACAAACTTGAAGTGAGAATGATCATACCATACATGCTACATGCTAATTTTAACATGAAAAATAATGACCACAGAACTAATATGACAACTCATTCGTTGTAAAAAAGGTTGAGAAAAATCTGCCATTATTTTATAAAGTCGCGAGTAGGCGAAACCATTAAGTGAAGTTATCGCCATTAAAGACGCCCAGAACCTAAAATTAACGGTACAAACTGGTTAAAAACCGAATTATAATCATTCAACTCAAGCCTTTATTCATAAAAAAGCATACTTTATCGTTTGTCTCATTAAAATTTAGCAAAGGTACTCAATTGACTATATAATTGCTGATAATTTTTGACAGAAAAAAAAACCGAATAGTTTATGGTTAAACAAATAGTGTACCGTTAATAACGTTATACTGCTATAGCGTTGCTCCTTAAAGCTATATAATGTAGTTAACCTCTTTCTCTCTGGTTGTTAAGTGCTCTGAGACGACTAACCTGAGACAGCCGCTAAACTTGAGAGTCACTCGCGGCTCTAAAAGCTTCATTGTTTGTCTTACAGGAGTTTATAAAAGTTAAAAGATGTAAAAAAAAAAATTAAACCCAGTTAATAACATTTTAGAGAAAATTTTGCAACTAAACCTATCTTATAAGTATTAAAAATGTGAAAGTTAATGTGGATGTTTGTTACAGTTTGCCGCCTAAACCACAGATGTAGAGCATAGTCTGGAACAACATAGGTTACTTTTTTAATCTACGCGCTCGCAGTCGCGAGCGAAAGTTATAAAATAAAGCTTATATTCGTCTAAAATTGCGAGAATAATGATTGACATTGCAAAAATCTTTGTTGGATTCTAAGTATCGAAATAATTAGGTGATTAGGATGTTCTTCGTGTGTGGGAGAGTCAGCGACGCCCCGAAAACGAAACCGGTTCCCTGGAGATCTCTAGTTATATGAGAAAACCAAACAACATCTTCTGATACTATCGGAATTATTAATATTTTTTTTAAATAGGAATAATAAAATTAGAAGAGGAAGACCGAAGAAAGTATGGATGGATTGTGTGAAAGAGGATATGTTTAAGAAAGGAGTGAATTCAGGTCTGACGGCTGATAGAGATGTATGGAAGAGCAGCACATACTTTGCCGACCCTCCGTAAGGGATAAGGGCAAGTTGATGATGATGAATCAAATTATTCCTTTTCTTACATCATACAAAACAAATTCAAACCTATATTTAGTTAGGTGTTCTTTAAGAATAAAGTATTACTTAATGCATCCCACGGGAAATGTAACTATTATCGGGATGAAAGTAGCCTATGTGTTCTTCCAGGCTATGCTCTAAATCTATGCCGAAGTTTATGAAGGTCCGTCCAGCCGATTCATACATCCATCCATCTAAACTTTCGCATTTATAATATTAGTACGAATGATTTACACTAATGCTGCGGTTTAAAGGATTTAAATAACATTTGTCTATATAGAACATAGTCTGGAAGATCTTAAGCTATTTACTGTTGTTTTTAAAATTCCATGCGCGCAAAGTCACGGGCAAAAGCTAGTATACCTGTATATTTAGAAAATTATACGGTTCCCTATAATGTTGTGGTCGGGAGGCGCGTCCGACCAGTTTTGCAGGGCGTGCGGTAAAGATGCGACGGTGGGGCTCCGGTAACGAGCCGCCGGCGCCCTAGGGCTCCGCTGATTCATGCCCGCTTTGTAATAAAGTTATTAAGTGGCCGGTCTCGTTTCGCATGGGAACCGGAGTTTAACGAGTCAGTTTGCGGTAGAGCGAGGATATTTATAGAATGCTGATTTGTGTGCGTTTTTGTTTACTTTATTATCTTTATATGCACGTATTTTAAAGATTCTACATACTAACTTAGAGTAGAGGGATACATCGACTTTAAGACGTCATCATTCAATGTTACTTTAAGTTTTCTGAGAAGCTATCGAAGATGTCTCCAGCCGATGCCAATAATTCTAATTAGGCTATTGACAACAAACAAAATTACAAAATTAGTTCGTAAAACGTTTTACCGTTCATTATCTTTATCTGTACTAATATTATAAAAAAAGATTTGTATTTTTGTATGTATATAACTCAAAAACTACTGAGGCAATTTTAAAAATTCTTTCACCGTTAGAAAGGTAATTTATCTGTGAGTAACATAGGCTATATTTTGTTATTGTTTGTACTTTCATTCGGGTGGAACCACAAGCAACAGCTAGTACTAGATAAAAGGATTTGCTCTTATGAAATTGTAATGATGCAGTCTTCAACATGACTACGATCTTTTGAAAACGGTTCTTTGCGATAAAAGTGGTTTGGACCATGATAATAATTGCCAATCGAAGTATATTACAATTGGTTTTTACTGGTTTTTAACTCGTACAAAATGATATTGCCGTCCTTCTCATCCGTCTTAAGAGAATTGAGATAACATTTCAAATATAATGCATTTGCAAATAGTAATCTTATCTTTACTTGTCCATTAATCATTTGCATACAAGATTGTAAAAGATAAAATTATTTGTTTATTGAAATATGACTTATTTCCTACACATTTGATAAAAAAAAATTGATCGAATTTAAGCGATCATCACATATGTTAAAAAATATTTTTTTTTTAAATTATTTGAACAGAAAACTAATAGTTTTAGTGCAATAGGGAGGTTATGGATTAAATCAAGCAAGAAGGCAAGGTCCTTAGGTGAAGGTACTGCGTCACCACGCATAATATTAAAGGCGATTAACACTCTTTTCCACTAATACGTCTGCACTAATTATCTATGATAGAACAGCAGTCGCTTGAAATCGCTTAGTAGAAACAGGGTTTAAGGTCGACGCAAACTCCGGCCAGACAGCTCGGCAGCGCCACCCACTGCGCGGTGCGAGCCAACACGAATGCAAACGTTAAACTACATACGCTATATGCTAATAGCGTTTATACAACTAGTTGGATCAGCGAATCTTGATACTTGTAATGTAAGGGCAGGTTTATAAGTTGAAGCAATGACTATAATGTTAAGTAAATAAAATGTAGAGAACGAGCAATTTGAAGTATTCTAATTCTTGAAGTACTTTTCAATAAGTAATATATTTATGAAAAGATGTGCATTCCGACTGCATATAAATTAGATAAAGACGTCATCCGTCCTCAGATAACAAACGTTACGTAAAACCTCCACAATGTAAGTTATAAACATTTATATAATACTCTACAAGTTATTTACAAAGAAATTAAGTAATAGAGAACTTCAACACGAAAGAGTCACATAAAGTTTTTTAACATTTAATTATTTTTAGACGCAAAGAAACTAATAAAAAGCCAATAAATTATTCTTAAGACTAAGGAAAGTGTCATCGTCGCGTAATATACAATAAATATAGTTACTTTATTATATTTACAAAAACTACTATTCAACACTATATTTGAGTGACCAGTTAACGTTGAGCCTTGTTATGTGAAAGTAGATATTTAGTATACAAGTTTAGGAGACCTTGTTACATTGGGTATTGGTTTTAGACAAAATGGCACCGCCATAGGTAATTGCATTGCGTT